GGGTTTGGGGGTGGGATGGCAGGGGTAGGGGAACGGTTGGGCTGGGGGAGCTTAAAGGGCTTTGCCAACCCAAACGACTCTGTGATTCTAAGACCTTTGGAGATTTGTAAGATGCAGTGGTCCCCATTTTCATTTTAAGTAGTCTGGTATTTTACACGCACGATAAAACAAAGAGCAATTAAGAGGACAAAAAAATGCATTTCAGATTACACCCTACAGCAGCGTTAGTGTTATGGTTACCCATGACGCTGCTGAAGTCTTTAGGAAAAAAATGTGCCTTCCTCCTACTCAAGTGGTCTGAGTTATGTCCATATCGCATCTGGGAGAAGATGTGGTGGGAACAGGAATAGCTGCAGCTCAGGTTGCAGCCCTAGCAAGATCTTGCCAGGGTCCTTCATCAGGCAGAGGAAATAGTTCCCTTGGACTTCCAATGCAAGAAACAAATAGAAAAATGATGGATTTTTTCTGCAGAGCTAAGGAAATATTAACCACACCTTCTGTATAAAAATTATCGTCACAATAGCCACCTAATTCAGCTATTTTTAATCTTTGAGGAAGAACTTTTACTGAAAAGAAAAACATTTAATATTTGTAAAATCTGAATACCAGACAGGGCTTACTTTGAAAATGAATTTTTACTGTATTTATCAGAAATAAATAATTGCATTCTTTATCATTTTCTCTTCTCAGTTCACGGCTAAGATAGTCCTTTAAGCACTGACTGTGAATAGTTCTTCTAAATAAAAAGATGCTTCTCAAAAACTTTAGAAGCTGCTAACAAGGTTCCCTACAACGCGTCTTTTAAGCCATAACATACACTGGGTGTTAAGTTAGGATTTGCGAGGGCAATAAAGCTGATGAAGTTTTGCTTGGGAATAATAGCCAGGCACACTCATCCTGGAGCAACTCACAAGGACTGCAGACCTATGGCCTGTACCTATCCTTTTTCATACATTTTGGGTGATTTAATGGCAGGACTAACTAGAACACACGCGCCAAGGGAGAGAAAAGGTCCTTGAGCGACACTAGCTGGGGGCAGGCTGACCCTGGCTGATGGAAGCATAGCACGGGTGTTTGCTCAGCACGTGTCCGAAGTTGCATTACCTTCAGAGTGAGTTTTATACTTTCAGAACAGTTCTTGGTTTGTCATTCAGGTTTATGCCTCCGCAGTATCAAGATACACCCTCCTTGTTTTGTGACATTGACATTTTCACATATTGTTGCTCACCTTATGCATGTGTGAACAATTGCTGCCTGGATGGGGTGACTAGACAATAACAGGGGAACATTCTTTAGTTTAAAACTCCTACTCAAGATATATATTCCTGAGCTTTCTAGTCCTGTCAGTTATAACTAAGTCATTAAGTTAATCATGTTGAATTCAGAAAAAGGTGCTACCCAAAACCTGTCAAGGTAATTATTCTTCTTTATCCACTGAGGTAGGAGTGCTCTGTGTCAAATAAACATTTTTTAAGTGTTCCACCATAACTTTCTCCTCATCTTCAAGATCTGCACCTTCTTTCATCTCCCACCTGGAAAAAAAAAAAACAAAAAACAAACCAACTTTTTACTAATTTTTAAATGTGCTTTAAACCAGTCTTTAGAATAAGTAAGTCAACACAAAACTCATTACTATCAACTCATTGTACAAAAGACAACCCCCAAAAATCTCGCCCCACACAATCAGCATGGCCGTGAGGCAATTGACACAAATTGTCAAAACTACCACAAAATCTCACTTACATTTATTGTGATAGAACTTTCTGTTTTATATCACACACAATGGCAGAGGTGGAAGCTTTGTAAAAGTAGCAGAGGAGAAGTGGAAGAGCTAACAAGCGTTTTGGAAGTTAAACAGATGATTTCAGCACTCTGTAAGTTTGCAGTGAAAACTCAAACACCATGTGATGTCCAACCCAAATATTTGATGTGAATGGTCATCATTCTCTTGCAGTGGCAATACTATATCACAAAATACCTCATGGCTCTGTTTCTTTAACCGTCAGGTATACCTATCACACCAAGACATAAAGAACATATCAGATTCTTCCCTTTCTCCATGTGAATATCCTAGTTTAGGATAAAAGTCCTAATACCATTAAAACTGAAAAGCTGAAAAAGTAAAAGAATATGAAGATGATTTTTCTTTTCTTTAGTAGTTAATTAAATAGAAAAACTTAAGAGTCACTCAGTATTCCCTTGCAGAAAATCAGGAACATAATTGCAGAAATAGCGCTAATACGTAGTCGGCTAAACTTTGTTATCACTCTAATTATGCCTACATAATGCTCAGTAACGCGGCTCACTGTCTTTTACAAATTTTGTGGATATTTAAGAGTTTGATATCCCTTTAATATTAGTCTCTTTCTGTTCTAAGTAGATAATAAAGTTCAAGCTCCCAGTTCAGACCAGCTGAAGACAAAAGGTAAAGCTTGAACACTGAACACAGAAACCGTATTTTCAAGTATTAAATCCAGTACGTTATAAATGAGCCATAGGATGATCCTGTAGAGTAGGAGACATGTAGAGAAGCAGCAGAACAAAGACTGCTTTTAGGAAACTGATGTCAGGAGCAGTACTTTAATCCTGTCCTTACACTTGTTAGGTCGTCATTCAGACTGCAAAAAACCAGGAGCCATATGCAAGTTTAGATTGGTGAGTAAATCAAATGCAGTACAGAATGGTGGGAAGAGTACATTGCGTTCATCATATTTGCAAAAAGAGGACAATCGTTATTGGCAATAGAGCACGGTGTGCACTTTTTGTAACTGTATTTAAAAGCTTGCTAAAAAACAGAAAAGAACAAGTGCTCTGTAGTACAATCTGATCGTTAAATTACAGTTAGGAAAATATATTCAATGGACATGTATAAATTAGCATATATCCATCTTTACCTTAAAAACTGAGTCTGACAACCCACATTACTGCCTGGAGTGAAGAAGTATCAGAACAAGCGAAACATACTATGAATACAATGATAAACGCTGTATGTCCATGATCAAAGCTTTGCAATAATTAACTACCTATTACTCCACTCATACATGACCACTATCATACTTAGCCTTATCTGAATACTAACATTAGGTACAATTAATTGCTGTTATGTCTGTCTGCTCCATTCCCTGGTTTATGATATGTTTATAACGTCTGGCTACGTTGAGTCCTCAGCACAGTTACTTTTGCAAGCATCCCAGGTGAATGCTGTTAAACGGGGTGGCTGGTTTCCCCTTCTCCTTTTGCTAATGCACCACAGAGCCTCTTCAAAGCTACGAAGAAGTCGCGCAAGCCTTAATTTGAATTTATGGTCCTCGGAGTCATTCTGAAATACCACTTTACCAGCCGAATTGATTCATTTTAATTAATTTGATTTGTTGCGTATTTTTAAGTAGAGGAGCTGTTTGCTTAGAAGGACGATAACTGAGAATGCTAAATGGAATACATTCAAAACAGTCATTGCTGGAGGTGTGACACAGAAATCTAGCGGTCTTGGCTAATGGAAGCTTAACAATAAATCAGCAGATTCCTTTTAAAGATAGTGACTTCATACTTGTCAGCACATTTCATTGAATCTCAAACGATAGTGTTGGTAAAAATCTTCAATGTCATCCAGTTTGGACATTCTTTAGTGTTCACTTTATAACAAGTTATTACTAATACATTACATTATCATTTTATCAAAAAGTAGTCTATTTTTAAAGCATTTAAGCAGGTCCAATGAGGATAAGAATGTCTTCTATGCATTCGCTTAACAGTATCCATGAATTAAAGATCTATGAAATGAGCTTGACAAACACCTGGTCCCTCACCTAATGGAGAAATTTTTCCACACTTATGCGTAAAGTCTGGGGACAATATTGTTTTTTAAAGAACTACTGGACAGTAAGCAAGAAGGCCACAACGTATCTTTGCTGTTCTGCATGGGACGAGAAATGAGGTGTTTGTGTACAAGTGGAAAAGAGAGTCAACATTTACTATTCAAAAATTTGTCCAAAACGGAACATGTTTTTACTAGCATATCTAAAATGTGTGACAATTGTTTTGGCAATAGTAATTGGTACAAGTCCAACTAGCCAGTTCAAGTAACGTGAATGTGAATGAAATTACCATCATGAATTACTTTCAAAATGCGAGCTTCATCAGCTGAACAGCCAACTCGCACACCTCTCTCCAAATTATTAGTACCGTAGCTCTTAGAGAAAATTTCCAAATACATAGCTGGTGTGTATTTTATTTTAGTCTGGATATATCTCGGGACATTAAATAAAATCAGCATTTCAAAGGGGTACTGCAATTATTTGGACCAATCCATCATATCGCCGTTTGCATCTTGCTTAGAGTTCATATAACCATAATAAGAGGAGTCTGAGTGTTCAGAAAGCCCAACTTTCAGGATATATTTCATATTTAAAAGAAAGCATGTGTTTAGAATAAAATGCCATCGCCTTTGTAATCCTTAGGATAGCGTTGAGAGTTTTCAGCCCAATACTACTTGTGTACTTAGAGAATTAAACATTTGAAGTATGTTTTCAAAATATGCTGAAATATCAAATAATATAGGTGATATATTGTGTGCACCTGAAGCGAATTGCCTAAAAACTTGTCTCTGTATGCCATTCCTTTCTGGTTTGCATGTCGGTAATCAAGGGACAAAAAAACCTGCTAGCAGTACATTTTTTCAGGTAGATACAGCAAAACACATCAGCATGGATAAGTACAGGAATCACCAAAGTCTTCTGCTGGCCAGCCTAGACCTTAGATCATGAGGTCAAAGAAGATAGCTAGCAGTGGGAGGGCTTCTGTTTCTCCTCACAAATAAGAGGGAAGAGAGGAAGTAGTTTTGACTTGCACACCCACAAGTTAACAAAGTTCAAGGGGAGAAGTATTCAGTGCCCCGGGAAGATCCAGTGATTCCAGCTCAGGTTTCCTTAGCAGTGTATCCGTGTGCTACCCCTGCTTATCATAGGCATCGATAATCCATTTGTATAAACAGGTACACATGCTGGACATTTTAGCAGGGCTGGATTTAATACCTGGTGATACGTTTGCCGCTTTCATTTTCTGTTTCAATACTGCATTTATTTTGTAAATTGTAGATATATTCCTAGGAATGCACTTTAAAAAAAACATAATAGAGACTATGTATTACATTTAGGTTCTCGTTGCAGGTCAAAAGGAAGTATCTGCAGTTGATACCAAAGCAGTAGTATGTTAAATCAGAAATAAACCACGTACAGCAGCATGCATACAGCAATTACCAAAAGTGACACAGATTTTACCTGTAGCAGATTGCCACATTTTAAGAAGTTTCGTTAAGAAGTTCACTTTAATAGATAGATACTCTTTGATTCGTTGATTATTTGTTTATTACAGTTCATTAGTTATAACAAGTGCATAAAGTTAAGAGGGAAAAAATTATGTAAAAAAATCACAAGGAAGAATAAACATGAACAAAACTGAAATAAAATGTAAGACTACTTTTCAACTCAGATGTACTTTGAACTTTGAAAAATCTCTTTATTTCTATTATTTGAGAGACTAACCATGCCCTTGTCGAAAGCTTATATAAAACAGTGTCTAAAAAGTGAAGAGTTTACAGAAAGGGTCGCCCTAATATAATTATAGTGGTATTTTATGTACTGCAAGTAGTGCTTATGTGGTATTTTCATATCTACTGAATTTCTTAATGTCTTGAAAAATTTTACATCACACATAACTCTACGGAACAAAGAAAAAAAAAACCCAAACCAATGACACCATTGTTATTTCCTACAGAAATGTAATCTAATCTAATCTAATCTAATCCAATCTAATCTAATCTAATCTAATCTAATATCTCAGATCCTCTTGTAGGGAAGTGTTGGCAAATGATGAAACATTAACTGTACGGCTGTACATTAGATAGCCGAAAATATGCATTTCCATACTGAATAATAGCTATACTTAATAGTTGCCTTGTATCAAAAAATAGCAATGTACTTGATACTGAGCAAAGAAGATGACATAATTCACATCTAATCTAAATCAGACACAGACAGCGCCATTCAAACACCCTAACATGGGCAAATATTCAGACTCCAAGCACCGCAAGCTCTTAAGCTTATCTATTTTTAATGTTGTGAATTACCACTGGAAAGGTTTACAGACACACTATTTTCAAGAGGAATTTTGATAAAAGCAGTAAGCACAAGTAGAGAAGGTCTTTTTCTGCCAAGTCTTATGTAAGAAGGCAAGAGTGGGAAAAGAACATAAAAAAGGTGCTTAAACTTAAATTCCATTCCCATTTATCTTGATGTGATTTAAGAGCCGTTTCCTGTAATTTACATGAAAATATTTTCCACATATTCACCTTCAGTTTCTTCAATAAACTGTTCTGCTGTAATTTTCAAACCTCTCTGAATGCATTTATTTATAAATAACACTATAAACTGAAGGAGGCAAAAGAAAGCAAGAGTTTGTGCACAGACAACTAATTGATGCAATTCTGTGAAATTGAGATGAAATTCATCCCATTGTTTAAGAGGTGCAGGTTTTC